TTCTTCCTTTTCTTTCCTCTTGCTCTTTATTTATTTATTTTTTATGCCACTGAAATACTTCTGTGTTATTCATCTGTGTGTTAGTCTCTCAGTGATTAACATTCTTTTATTTGGTCTTTTTTTTCTTTCTCTGTAGTGAATGTGTAGTGTACTTGGTCAGCTTTTTATTGGCATTGAAGTTAAGTTTGTTTAAAGTAGGAGGTTTGTTTTAATGTTTCCCATATATGTTTAGATACACGTTAGCTCTTGCTTGGTTCTGCTTTGCTACCTGGCATAACCAGAAATGAACTTAATTTGGAGTTTTTAGCCAGGAGACACACCTTGCTACTGCATTCCCAATTGAAGAATAGCAGTGCTCTATTGGAGAAGTGTCTGTCTGTCTGTCTGTCTCTCTTTTAACTGCTTGTAATTTTTGGAAGGTTGCAATAGAATAACAAGGTTAGGAGAAGACAGACATTCACCTATTTAGATCCATGAGTCACACCTTGTCATTGGTGGACTGGTAATGTTATTTGCACTCATATTTGATGTTTTAAACCAGAGCACTGTTTATTGTAACTCATTGAGTAGATCACCATAAATCAGTTTAGATTGCTATTGGCTTGGAGTTTGAGTGTGGTGGAGATGAGATAGGAAATTGGATTTTCTTAGATATTTGGCATCCTTGTAACATCAGGTCAGTTATTCTTTGTCATTTGTATTTGAAATAATTAAAATTTATAGATAGCTACAATTATAATACAAATATTTCTCCAGATGTGTTAGCAACATTATTAACCCATTGTTATATATTTGCCCATTTGCTTAGTCATTCCGTTATTTTTTTAAATGAACAGTTTAAGAATAAGTTACATACATCATATCCTTTTACCATGTAACACTTCACTATATATTAATAGTTTCTAAGACAAGAATATTCTCTTATATAACTATATTATAGTTATCAAATGAAGGAATATATGATTATCTAATATACAGTCCACATTACAGATTTCACTATTTTTCCCAATAATATTCTTTAATAACTTTTTTCCAGCCCAGGATCAACCTAGAATCATTCCTGCATTTAATTGTCATATCCTTTATTCTCCTTTGATCAGAACATTTCTTCAGCTCTTTGTGTATGTGTGTGTTAATGACATTGATTATTTTTGCAAAGAGTGATAGACACTTCTCTGTAAGAATCTCTCTCAGTTTGGCTTTGTCTGATGCGTCTCATGATTAAAGTTAGGAAATGTGGTATCGCCAGAAATGTCACAGTTGTGATCTGTGGTTATCGTGCGTCACATCAGGAGACACTTGTCCACTTGTTCCGTCATCGGTGATACTGACTGACTTTGATCTTTTGGTTAATATGATATTGGCCAGGTTTCTCTACTTGTTATTATTTTCCTTTTATAGTAAGTAATTTGTAGAGAGACACTTTGAGACTCAATATATACCAGTCCCCTTCAAACTTAAATTCATAAAGATTTTAGCATTCATTCTCTGATCATTTTGCCTGAATCAGTTATTACTAAGATGGTAACAATTCAGATATTTAATTGGATTTCGACATTTAATTGCACAAGCTCAGTACTGTGGAAAGGCACCTGTTACAGCTGTTGATTCCTCAGCATTAGAAAGTGTTTTGTATTTTTTTTTTTTTTTTTTTTTTGAGACAGAGTCTCACTCTGTTGCCCAGGCTAGAGTGAGTGCCGTGGCGTCAGCCTAGCTCACAGCAACCTCAAACTCCTGGGCTCAAGCGATCCTCCTGCCTCAGCCTCCCGAGTAGCTGGGACTACAGGCATGCGCCACCATGCCCAGCTAATTTTTTCTTTATGTATTAGTTGGCCAATTAATTTCTTTCTATTTATAGTAGAGACAGGGTTCGCTCGGGTCTCGCTCTTGCTCAGGCTGGTTTCGAACTCCTGACCTCGAGCAATCCGTCCGCCTCTGCCTCCCAGAGTGCTAGGATTACAGGTGTGAGCCACTGCACCCGGCCAAGTGTTTTGTATTGAATTGGAATTTGTCTCCTGAGACGTCTATACTTTGTTTCAAGTTCTGTGCTTTGTACTACATGAGATGAGCCTGCTTCTCTCTTTCTCTAACAGCCCTTCAAAATGTGTTCCTTTTTGTCTTTTCTCTAGGTTAGTTGCTCCAATTTCATATAGTCATTTCTTACAAGAGATGGCTTTCCCAAATTTATAATCACCCTATTGTTTTCCTGGTAATACTTCTTCATCAACGTCACACTTAACATATGGTACCTGAATCTGGATACTGTTAATAATTCCAGGTAGAGTTTGATCTATCAGTCAATGGATCACTATTTGCCTATAATCTAGCTTGATACTTGAGAGCACCAGACTTCGGAGACATAGATCTGGTGCCAAGTCCAAGCTCTGCCACTTACTAATAACTCTCTGATCTTGAATAGGTCCTAACATCTCCAAACCTCGGTTTTATAATCTGTAGAGTTGTATTAATAATAATAGTACCTGCCTTTTAGGGTGGAATGAGGATTAAGTGTACATGTGGAACTCTCAGGATGGTGTCTGTTATGTCATAAATACTCATTAAATATTAATTATTATTTTCAGGAAGCATGCTTATGTTTTACAGCTCAAGATTGGTACATTTTGTGTTTAGCCATTGTATTGTGGTAAAAATCCGAAAATGTTAGTAAGTTCTACTAAAGCAAAGTTAGACTCTTGGAAAAATATTTTAACTGTGTGAAAGATATTTTATCAAGTTACAACTCTTAAGATATTTTGAATTATTTTTTAAATCTTTTTTTTTTTCCCTCTGTTTCCCGGGCTAGCATGCAGCGACATCATCATAGCTCACTGCAGCCTCAAACTCTTGGGTTCAAGCAATCCTCCTGTGTCAGCCTCTCAAATAGCTGAGACTACAGACATGTGCCACCATGTCCAGCTAATTTTTCTATGTTTTGTAGAGACAGGATCTCTCTGTTGCCCTTGCTGGTCTTTAACGCATGGCCTCAAGTGATCTTCACACCTCAACCTTCCTAAGTGCTAGAATTATAGGCGTGAGCCACTGCACCCAGCCTTAAATCTTTTATTATATATGTACAGTATATGTAGAGTATAAAGAAACATTTGAGTTGTTTTGTTCTTTTTTAGGGACAGGGTTTCACTCTGCTGTGAAGACTGGAGTGCAGTGGTGCCATCATAGCTCACTGGAGCTTTGAACTCCTGGTCTCAAGTGATCTTCAGTCTCTGGAGTAGCTGGAGTGCACGCCACCACTCCTAGCTAATTTTTAAAAATTTTTTGTAGAGATGGAGTCTTGCTGTACTGCCAAGGCTGGTCTTGAACTCTTGGCCTCAAGTAATCCTCCTGCCTCAGCCTCCTGAGTGCTGGGATTACAGCGTGAGTCACTGCACCTGGTCCATTTGAGTTATTTTGAATAAACCCTAAAACATTATGTCAGCCAGGTGTGATCTCTACAAAAATAAAAATAAAAAAGTTAGCTGGGCAAAGTGGCACACACCTATAGTCCCAGCTACTCAGGAGGCTACAGAATTGCTTGAGCCCAGGAGTTTGAGGATACAGTGAGCTGTGATTGTACCATTGTACTCTAGCCTGGGCAACAGAGAGAGAGCCTGTCTCTACAAAATAAATAAATAAATAAATAGTCTCTTACAACATAGCAAATGTGTAATATTTCAGCATTAAATAATACTTTTAAAATTAGTCCATGAAATTGGAATGTTTGGATGCTATTTCTCATGGTGTTTTAAAATCATGTGGCTAATATATATAGTGCCTTTATTATGTTCATGAAATAAGGCTTTAATAAAATTTACCATAGAAATTGAGACCAATATATGTATTAGGCCAGTGTACATATAGGGGAAACGTAGTTATCTTAGTATTCTAGGACATTTTGATGGAAGTGTACATATTTTGATTGAAATTTACTTATAGGGGGAAATGCACATGAAAATGAAAACCATCGAAACACCCAAGCCTAAAATTTGCCTCTGTGTATGGCTTCCTGATGCATTAAAGTTTATACATAATAATGGTGTTAGATTATTATTTAAAACTTAGATTGGATAAGGATATGAACAATAAATCTATTGAGTAATGTGTGTTGAATTTTTGAATGATACTTCATTTAAAATGAATTTTTTAAAAATTAAATCTTTTAAATTAAAATCCTGGTGTCAAGTGATCGATCGATCCTGCAGCCTCTGGAGTAGCTGGGGTGTGCGTCACCACTCCCAGCTACTTTCTAAAAAATTTTACTGTTTATTTCTGCAGTGCAAGTTATCGTTGTGACTGCCTGTGTAATACATACTTGTTAATGGGATGGAAAAATAAGGATTTTAATCTTGTTTTTGTAGTTCCTAATTTACAAACCTTCTGGGTTTTTGTTTTGAAAATTCAGTTTGAGTAGGATAAAATATTTTCTATGGGAATGCATTTTTATTTTGTAGACAAACCTTCTAACACTTGATTAACGTATAGTAATAATGCTGCGGTAGACTTTGGCGTCTGTCAGGAAATGCGCTTTAAACCCCGGGAATGTCAGAAACATGGCTGCTCCTGCTGTTGCGACAGGACCCAGAGGCCCGTTCCCCTGTCAGGAGCCCTAACTCAGACCCCTTGGGACACCGACCGAACTCCACTCACTGTTTGTACAGTGCCCTTTAGCTGGTGGTGGTTTGTTCTAAAGAAATTAGCCAGACTTTAGAAAAACAGAAAACTACTTGCTTTTGCTTACTTTGGGGACAGATTATAAAAAGTAATCCTTACCTAGCCTGTGGCCAGTAAAAAGTCTGTAGGTTGAAGTTACATACATGTTGTTACATGTTACAGTATACATTAGTGTCAAATACCAAATGGATGTTTTTATTTCTTAATTTTACCTCAACAACCCTTTCTACGTAGCTATAGTAGTGAAAGCACTCCTTAAAATTTTAGATGATTAAAATATGGCACATAATAAATTTTAATTGTCTCAACTCTGTTTCATATTAAATGTGTTACAGGAATGAATCTGAAGTCTGCTGCAGTAAAACACTGAAGGCTTTAAAATGTTTTCTTGCATAAAACTCAAACTTTAAGTAGCTGCTTATGAGGATAGGGAAGGCAGGAAGCTAATGTCTGTCTCAAGATACAGGACAGCTGTTTGCTCATCAACCTCAACTGTGTGAGTAGAGATTTAAGCCTGTCACCCTATGTAATTGGGCATAGTAACTTACTTTTTTTAAAAAAAATTCTTAAAGATATGCTTAAGTCAGCATGGTGAGACGTTATTTAGGGTCTGTTTTTCTTCTGGTGGGTAGGATACCAAGGGTGGAGTGGGTGGTAACTTTTTATTTATAAAATATTTTTGTGCAGTAACACTTATAACTAATGTCATTAATGACTATGCATCTTTTCTTAGAATTATTCTAAGCATTGAAATCTGTATTACTAAATTTATTATTGTGAAGCAAAAGAGTATAATTCAGATTGCTGTTTATTTTGCAGTTGATTTCAGCCTTTTGAAATTAATACTTTGACCAAACAAGCATACAAAATGTATTTAGGGAATAGGATGTTTGATGTTAATGTAGAAAATTACTCCTGGAAATATTTTATATTATAATTAATAATTTTTAAAGTTAATATTTCAAAAAAATAGCTTTAATCAGAGAGCATATGCATTTCAAAGTAAAGGAACTCTTGTTTCCTAATGCAGTCGGAAGTCTTTTAAAGCTTGCCAATTTTATTTATTTTTTTCCTATCCACTAGACCACCAGGACCAATTTTATTTTTTAAAGTGCTTTAATAATATAAATCCCTATTTAAAAAATTCTTTTCTCTTACTAAAAGTTACCACCTTAAGAATCCATTTGGGGGGGAGTGTCTGTTTTCTCTGCTTCCTCCCTTTCTTCCTTCGTGGGTGCAGCAGTGAGACTCTTAATTGGATGTTTTCCTCCCCCTTTAGAAGAACGCATGGTTTGTACAGATGGGGTAACCAAAATACAAAACGTTGTATTGAGCAAAATGATGAGAATGTAGATAAAGATTTATAAAATGTTGTTAACTGCTTAGTGAGGCATGGGGAGTAGAAGGAGAGTTGTTTGGAATGGTGTATTTGCATTAAATTGAAATTACTTTCTCTTTCATGTCACAAATGTGTTGGCTGGAGGAAAATTAAAATGGACTGTCTTTAGAATCAGTAAATGAGAAGATATTTGAAACATGAAGAGTACACACTGAATATGGATATTCTTTGAAAGTAGTCAAAGGGTGTATAGCAGAAATGAAGGGGAGTGAGATGTAGCTGCATTGAAACTGGTGAAAAACTCAGAGGTTTCAGTGTGCCCCATTTTTTTCTTTCTGTGTTAGTCAGTACACATATAGTAGTAGTGTGTGATCTCCAGAGGTTATCTAGTTCCTAATCATTCCATAGCTCTAGAGAAGAAATATTAAAATCTCCTTGTTTAATGATGACAAGCCTCACTTTGGTGAAATGTTAGTCTGTCATGAGATTAACTCCCCAGTTACAGTCATTTGGCTGTAAAGCCAACTTTAATTTGGTGCTGCTATTTTGTGTACAGTTCTTCAACACTCTTCTCTCCTTTCTATTTTTTAATTAGTGTCAAAAATAAAGAAAATTCAAGGTGAAAGCAGTCTTTGAAACATACTAATGAAACTTTGGTTTTTAAAATGAGTTCAGGCAGAAAGGACACACAATGGGAAAGGGAGAAGCATTTATAACTATAGAGGATTTTAGGGGAAATTGCGTGATAGTAAATTGGTCCCAAATTTCCTTTTATCTCTCTGAGATGATTCTATGTGTTCTATATTACTCTTCTATCAAGGGGGTAGAGGAAAGTGCTAAGAAGCTAATTAGCTTTACTGGGATATAAAGTACGTGTGGGAGTGTGTGAACACCATGCATAAAGCTCTGGTACTCTTTCTCCTCTGTCTTTTCCTGCCCTTCACCTTACCACAGTAGCATAGGCTTCTCATTGTTCCTGTGCCCACCCCTGTGACAGAGTTTTACCTAGATGTGCAAATGTAGTTTAGCTTCTTTTACACTGCGTTACGCAGATGAGTAAGATGAAGTTTCTGGGCTTTGTAAGGCCATGGCACATGTTTCAGTGCATGGTCTGTAGAGTGAGGCTGCTAGGAAGAATAGAGTTAAATGAATGGCTTCTAATTAGCGAAGAGGCCTTAATGGGCATGGATTTTATTTTCTTTTTTTTTCTTTTTTTTTTTTTTTTTTTCTGAGACAGAGTCTCACTTCTGTTGCCTGGGCTTCTGTTGCCATGGCATCAGCTTAGCTCACAGCAACCTCAAACTCCTGGGCTCAAGCGATCCTCCTGCCTCAGCCTCCCAAGAAGCTGGGACTACAGGCATGTGCCACCATGCCTGGCTAATTTTCCACTGAAATACTTCTGTGTTATTCATCTGTGTGTTAGTCTCTCAGTGATTAACATTCTTTTTTGGTCTTTTTTTTCTTCTCTGTAGTGAATGTGTAGTGTACTTGGTCAGCTTTTTATTGGCATTGAAGTTAAGTTTGTTTAAGTAGGAGGTTTGTTTTAATGTTTCCCATATATGTTATTGATCACGACGTTAGCTCTTGCTTGGTTCTGCTTTGCTACCTGGCATAACCAGAAATGAACTTAATTTGGAGTTTTTAGCCAGGAGACACACTTGCTACTGCATTCCCAATTGAAGAATAGCAGTGCTCTATTGGAGAAGTGTCTGTCTGTCTGTCTGTCTCTTTTTAACTGCTTGTAATTTTTGGAAGTTGCAATAGAATAACAAGGTTAGAGAAGACAGACATTCACCTATTTATCCATGATTCACACCTTGTCATTGGTGGACTGGTACATGTTATTTGGCACTCATATTTGATGTTTAACCCAGCACTGTTATTGTAACTCATTGAGTAGATCACCATAATCAGTTTAGATGCTATTGGCTTGAGTTTGAGTGTGTGGAGATGAGATAGGAAATTGGATTTTCTTAGATATTTGGCATCCTTGTAACATCAGGTTCAGTTATTTCTTGTCATTTGTATTTGAAATAATTAAAATTTAAGATAGCTACAATATAATACAAATAATTCTCCAGATGTGTTAGCAACATTATTAACCATTGTTAATATTTTGCCCCATTTGCTTATCATTCCGTTATTTTTTTAAATGAACAGTTTAGAATAAGTTACATACATCATATCCCTTTACCATGTAACACTTCACATATATTAATAGTTTCTAAGAACAAGAATATTCTCTTATATAATATATAAGTTATCAAATGAAGGAAATATATGATTATCTATTACAGTCCACATCAGATTTCACTAGTTTTTCAATATATTCTTTAATAACTTTTTCCAGCCAGGATCCAACCTAGAATCATTCTGCATTTAATTGTCATATCCTTTATTCTCCTTTGATCAGAACATTCTTCAGCTCTTTGTGTATGTGTGTGTTTAATGACATTGATTATTTTTTGCAAAGATGATAGACCACTTCTCTGTAGAATCTCTCTCAGTTTGTTTGTCTGATGGTCTCATGATTAAAGTTAGAATGTGGTATCGCCAGAATGTCACAGTTGTGATCTGTGTTACAGTGCGTCACATCAGGAGACACTTGTCCATGTTCCGTCATCGGTGATACTGACTGACTTGTGATCTTTGGTTAATATGATATTGCAGGTTTCTCTACTTGTTATTATTTTCCTTTTATAGTAAGTAATTTGTAGAGAGACACTTTGAGACTCAATATATACCAGTCCCTTCAAACTTAATTTAAAAATTTAGCATTCATTCTCTGATCATTTTGCCTGAATCAGTTATTACTAAATGTAACAATTCAGATATTTAATTGATTTCGACATTTAATTGCACAAAGCTCAGTACTGTGGAAGGCACCTGTTACACTGTTGATTCTCAGCATTAGAAAGTGTTTGATTTGTGTAAAAATCAGCCTTATTGAGGTAAATTTACATAAAATTAAATTCATTAATTTTAAGTGTGCAATTTTAGTTATGACATACATAGTTGTGTACCCACTCCCACCACAGTCATGATAGTAGGACATTTCTATCACCTAAGAAAGATTCCTTGTATCTCTTTGAAGTCAATCCTGTGGTCCCTGGATCTGCTGTCTGTTATAAGTTGCATTTTTGTAGCATTTCATATAAATGAAATCATATTATGTAGTCTTTTGTATCTTTTTTCTTGTAAGTAGCATAATAATTTGGAGATACACTCATACTGTGTTTCTCAGTAGTTACTCCTTTGTATTGCTGAGTAGCACACAGTTCCCATGGCCATCCACCGTCTTATGGATGTTTGGGGTGTTTCCAGTTCTTGGCTGTTAAAAATAAGATCACTGTGAACATTTCAGTGCAAGTCTTTGCGTGGACATGTATGTAAAGACATAGGAGTGAGAACTTTGCTCTATTTTAAATGTAACATTTCATTTCTTAGTTTTGGTAGGGAAGATAGAAAAGTATATTAAACCAAAAGATTAATACTTATCTCAGGGAAAGAATTAAATAGCCAGCTATTACTCTGTTTTATTCTTTATCCCCTGCCCTCAAAGCTACTGCTGTTTCCTTTAAACTACTCCTAAAATGGTATTCCGTATTTTCAACTATTATTTATAAAAATAGGCTGGATTTTGAATGGGTTGGTTGACCCTTGGCCATGTTGCAACACTTCCTGTCCCCTGTTCCCTAGTGTTTCTACCTTATACTCAGTTTTATTGTTAGGAGCCTTTTGTATTTCTTTCTAAATCACCTCCTTTCTCTTCAGTTTTGAGAATCAGTGCAATTTGAATTACAGGAAATAAAGGAGAAGCTACAGACCAAGTTTTATGATGTGTAATGTCATATATTAGGAGTTTGTTAGAAATTCCACTTCATGACCATGTTGCTATGACTAATGACTTAATTGAAGCCTGTGAAGTGACCCATATTTGCTGACCTGTATGTGTATATTATAATCTCCTTGGCAGTGTAGGTGTAAGAATTAGTTTAGAAGACAAGGGATACCTGAAAACTTGGTCCCTGCTCTCGCAGGTATATTTGTCTGTTTACATACATGTGCCCATATACACATCCTGTATTTCTTAATTAGGGATTTCAGGTTTAAATTGGCTTAAATTTTAGGTTTGAGTTTGTTAAGTTTCATATACA